AAAAAAAAAACTACAGTGTAAAAAAATTCCAGTCCTCAAAATGAAAATTTCCTCATATGTCTAGGACTCGTGGCTGAAATGCACTTGAAGACTGCAGACAAACAGATGTTCTAACATCTGGTTCAATGATGTTCATAAATAATACTTTTGGCAAAGTGTAAATATGAAGGAATGCAGGAATTAACAAACATTACATAAGGCTTAACATATAATTCATTTATAAACTTTAGTCTGCTAATATATAATAAATAAATAAATATAAATAATTCAATTATAACAAAAATAACAAAAAAACAAAACGACAAGAAAAAAGAAAAAAAAGAAAAGAAAAAAACAACAATAATAATAATAAAAATAATATTTTTCCCCCAACAGTAATATGTTTGCCATACTAATTGTGTTAACAAAACTTCAGTGGTAAGGAAGCTTTCTTTTATTGAAACTTTTTTATTAAACTTTTTTTTCTTCACTGGTCTATTATTGTGTTATATTACAGATAAACCCGCCTCTAAATAGCATGCTAAATCAAAAACTGTAGTTTTCGCTTCAGGAGATCTCTTTCTGTCCAAGTGGGCAGTTCTTGGCCAGAGTAAGCTGCAGTGAGGACCAGACCATATGTCGTTTCGTCAAAGGTCTGGCTATAAGGGAGACATTTCTAAGGCAACACTGTAATTGAAAAGTAATCCAAAAAGTGTTTCTGAATAAAATATAAGTGCACTGCTCAAACTGACTCAGGGCTTGTGGAGAGCAAGGGAACAAAGAATCCGTAGCTACATAAGCAGATTCTCCCGTTTAATTCCATTTGTTGCGCTTAGGATTGTGTGGCATTTTTATTTAAGAAAATTAAGTGCAATGTTCATCTAATCAGGTCGTTTTACACAAGGGCATACGAGGGGGAAACACGCACAGTGAACTCTTTATGCTTCCTTCCATCCACACATTCATACACGCACACACAGACCTAGCAACCAACAATCTCGGCCACAACAATATTACCCTCCCACCAGTATTACCCTCCTCGAGCGAGAGGGAATTTTCCCCCAAAACACTGAGGAATTCTGCAGATTCCCAACATACGAGCACTCAGCCCACACCCTCAGTGCAAATAGAGGACACAGAGAGAGAGACTTGTTTCACTGCGAGTTGTTTGACAGGATTCAAAGTGGAGGCTGTAAATTTGTGCTCATCTATAAACAGCTTTTTGTATCGGATTCTTACTGTTGAGTTCTTCAAAACAGATCTCAAATCAGCACTAAAGGCAAAGGTCCAGCAAACCAAATAACACAGCTAGTGACTGGTCAGTCGAATTTAAGTGAGTCACACACCAATCAGACAGATAATAGTGTAGTATTTGGCATGAGGTGCTGTCACAATGAAGAGGCTGTACTCTGCTCTGATTTGATCTGGCTGTTTATAAAATCAGCAGTAAGCTACTATATCACATTTCCACATGTCCAACCTTATAGGGGAGTGAGCTTATGCTAACAAACTGGAAGGCTAGAGATGTAATGTAATCTATGAGGTAAAGGAAAATTTCACAGAAAAATGAAAGTGTCAATTGCGACTCAAGTTTAAAATGTAAAAGTGCAAATAAAACTTGACAGCTGTGCAGTGTTGTCACTGTGAACTAAAACTACATCTGTTATATTAGATAAAATGCATAAACAAATTCAATGAAACGAACAAAATAAATAAAAAATAAAAATGACAAAACATAAAATTATTAAATCATAATCTAAAATGTAAATGAAAACTGAAAATATAAAAATAAAAGCTAATTCAATTTCAGTGGTTGTATCATTTTTCCTCACAAAAAGCTATTGCATGACTTTAGAAGTCATACTTTGTCAGTCAAAGTAGACTGTATGACTTTGACAAAGGACACTGTATGGAAAAGAGCAGAGTGAACATTCTTCAAAATATCTTTTTGCTGTGTTCCATACAAGAAACCATAGTCTGAAATGACATGAGGTGAATGAGTGAATAAATGACAGAATTCATTTTTGGATGAACTAATCTTTTAAAAAATTACAGGGGAAGGGGACAGTAAAAGATCATTAGAAATGGCGACTGCTCTTCCTGGATGTTGTAATCCTGGAATGCTGTTTTTGGTTCGACTGTAATGTTTGTTTTATTTTACAAGCGAAGCGCCCATTGACATCCATGGCTTTCCTTTAAGGCTTTCCAGATACAACAAACTATTATAACAAGTAGGCGGTTCTTCACTCTTTAAGCGTTTACACTACAAATGCACTGTAGTCATACGCACTTTCAAATACCTTTGATCCAGTCAAAACATTTTGGTCCGTGTTTACACCTGTATTTATCAATGTCTGTTTGTGATCAGATACTTTCATGCAGACAGCTTCAGTTCCCTTGCACTGTTGCTGAATGGAAAAGAGTGACAAGCATCAACTAATAACTAAATCCTTTGAAGAAAATACATCAATATTTGCCTAAAATCATGCATCATGCTCCATATGAAGGTGCAGTGCCATTCCTCACTCTCAGTGAAACACATTTCCATTTTTACAGCGAATTCAAAAAACATCCTGTGCACTGAGATACCAAGAGCTTCCTGAGCATACACACACACACAAACAATCTCAAGAACAAGCTGAAACAAAGGCTGATGGTTATAATTACGAGAAACACGATGTGCTACATAACTACAGACTACTCATCTGTGATTGACGCCCCCACTCCAGGAATGACAGACCAGAGACCTCAATTTATTATGGGGGTTTTGGTTTGATTTCTCTGGAAATATTTGTGACTACTACCAAGTTGTCTTTAAACATTCCCTCTTTTAGGGTGTGGTGGCGGTTCAAGGAGACGTTTTCGAGATTGTTTGAGAATTCTGGTTTCTACAACACTCCAGTTGGACGAGAGCGTTTCCTTCCAGCCCGAGCCAAAGCTTCATCCACACCCACACTGTGATGCATATGTCCATAAGCATTCACAGGGGATATCAGACACATATCAGACCCCAGAGAGGGAACATGAGAATATTTCAGTCCGTTCGTTGGCCTCATTCATGAAACACAAGCAGAATTGATTCCTGTGTATATAATTTGTAAATCCATTATTACGTAAATTGTCCTACTAAATTGAATGCTGCAATTCATTCAAGAATGGTTTTATGTAAGATTTACACAAATACGCACTGTTTGCGGTTTTTTTTTTTTTCGTGCTCATTGTTTTATACTCATCCAAATATTGGATGAGTATTTCAAGATATCAATGATTATACAAACACATACCACTAACAAGCCAAGAGTAACACTTGTTCACTACGAGTGCACAGAAACCAATGAAACACGGAAACCATCTCATGTGCTTTTTAAATGATATGCCCGTGCAGTTAAACAGAAGTCCTCCAGGCACTTCTCAGGAGAAGTTAATCAGCTAATGTAAAAGTGCTGCATACAAAACACTGCAATACCTCCACCAGGTTATTTCATCACTTTGAAATTGAAAAAAAATGGCTTTGTAAAAACTGGCTTATAGTATTGAAAGTCCCTTTCAGGGCTTAGGAGGCTCCTTTAAAGGGGTCATATGATGCGATTTCAATTTCTCCTTTCTCTTTGGAGTGTTACAAGCTCTTGGTGCATAAAGAAGATCTGTAAAGTTGCAAAGACTAAAGTCTCAAATCCAAAGAGAAATTCTTTATAAAAGTTAAGAGTAAACCACGCCTACCTAAAACGGCT